AATCCCTGTTGTGTTTTGTTTTGGTGTTAATTTCAGTGAAATGGTCTCCAGAATAACTTCCTACTCAAACACAGAAAATAATGTAGTCAGAAGGCACCCAGGATCACTTTAGTAAAAAAGATAAGAATACCTGGATATTGGTCATCACTTTGGATCTTTACTTAAAAAACACAATTTCTTTACAGTTAGTTTACTAAGGTAATCCAAAGTTCAAAAACAAATACAGTCTAGGGTCTCCTAGATGCTTTAAATTATGTGAGTGGACAATAAAATAATGCAATTTAAAGAGGTAAATGCACAAAGTAAGATACTAAAAAAGTCATTGCTGCACTGACACTCAAGGAAAGGAAAGGAAAGGTAGGAAAGAAGGTAATTCAGAGCTGACTCACAGTCTCAAAGGCAGACAGCTCTGCTGGAAAAATAGTGTGTCTTCTAAAGTAAAGCTAAATAAGGACTTAACATACATTTGCAGTTATTTATACTTGTTGCAAAATTATGCTTTTTATCATAATTAACAGAATAAGAAGCCAGATTTTGCCCTCATGAGACAGAAGATTTTAGCAGAAAATCTTTAAGTAGAAAATTTCTTTCTATTCTACAAATACTGAATTGTCTTTCATGAGCTGGTTGCAGTTTTGCTGAGGTTTTCTGATGAAGCTAAAATTGAATCTGTGTTAATATCTTTTTTTATGGCTTTGTAAGTCAAATCTGAACAGAAAGTAAAATAATTCTTTTTATCCAACCTTATTTTTATCCTACTTTCTTAATTTTATCTGTTAATACATTAATACAAAATACCTACAGTTTTCATCTCCTTTTCACTGTACTCAGATGAATTAGGTTATTATGTTTCTTTTTATTTGAGATCTATGACTTATTCTGACTAACAGGAACTGCTAAGCTTATTTGTTAGCAAACTAATCAGTGTAGAGCAAAATAAAAAGTAATTTGCTACTTAATATTGGTAGTATAACTCTAATTCAAATAAATTAAGTTCATCATTATTTTAATTCAAACAATCCCCTTGAATGATTGTTTTTTTGTATTTGTACAATCTACAGTAAATAATGTAAATATTCTAAACTATACATGAGATTTGAGGATATGTGCAAAGCTTCAGTAAATACTTTTAGATCAGGAATGGAAAAAAAAAAATTTATTTTTGGGGGGTTTTCTGTGGGTGTTTGCTTTTTTTAAATTTATTTTTTGTTGGTTTTCTTTTTTTCTGATTCAGTATGGTTCAGAAATCTTTTAAATACTATTAATTTTGGATTTTTAAATACTATTAGTTTTGGATAATTAGTTGTTATTCTGATCAAATAAGAAGAGAATTGACCTAAAGGCAAGTTATAACAAAAAAGCCAGCACAATTTCTTTGTAGTGGAGAAGACAACACCTGTAGCTGCTTTAGCATTTATACTTAAAGAAATGTCATGTGCAACTACGGCCAATTGGAAAAAAAAATACTACTTGTGTTTATAAAATAAAAGTGCAAAACTTCCAATGACAACACTTTTTGTGGAGCCAGATATTTCCCACAAATATTTTCATTGCTGACTTTTGTACATAATAATATTTATAATGATAACGTTGTGAGATAATCGATGTTACGTCAGTATTGGAAGTAGTTGTTATCATGTATAGCATATGACAATTACTTTTTTAAAGGAAAAAACCAAAACCTGCTAATTTTCTTTTCTTTTTATTGGTTTGATCCCATCCTTCTCATAATTTCTTTGGGTTTGATTTTTATATTTCACCTACAGGTGAGCTGTTTTCAGCAGTAGTTGTTGGTGGATTGTTACAAGGCCTCTACATTCAGTTGCTCCATAATTCTTTTGCAGTGAATGGTGAAAGCACATATTTGGTTATGTAATGTTGATTTGGGTGACACTGGAGAACTAGTAGTTTATCTTCACCCAGAGCTGATAAGCAGCTTAAGGTGTGTTAGCAGTTTGAGGCAGAAGAATCACAAGACTTTGGTGAGGTTTTACATGTATGGACTAATATGCATTGGAAAGGTAGAGAAAGCATTGCACAGCAGTTAAGCAGGAAACTGAACTAAACTGAAGTGAAGCCACATCATCATTGTAAACTGTTGAATCATTCACTTTTTCTTTCTAAATTTCCAAAAATCATTGGAATTATTTTAGTGAAGAAAAAGAAAATGTGAAATTTGAATAGAAGAAATTTTGGATTTATCTTTGCATACAGTCTCTTCTTCAGATGTGTCCTCTCAGGAATTAATTAGCTTATAGGCAATCAACAACTTACACTGAATACTCAGACCCACTTTGCTCACAGAAACAGATTATGCCAAAATGAATGTGAAACTTATTTAACATAAGAAAACAAAGGCTATGGCAAGGAATGCTATTGAAGTAGAAATTGGTCCTTTCATTGAAACAGGACAAACTACATTCCAGCTGAAAGAAGTGTGGCACTTCTCAAAAAATAATTTGCTGTTTTAAGCATAAAAATAAGGTATGTCCTGACCACTGGGTGCCACTATATTTGCATTTGATACTTTGTGGAAATATTTCTAGCAAATTACACTCCTTTGGAATACTGCAGACAGTTTGAGTTGGAAAAATAATTCATGAAAATAAACACAATCTGGTCATTGTCTCTGATTTTTCCTTTGCTGTTCACAGAAACTGGGAGATATTAAGTCTTTTCAGAGGCTTGAAACAATACAGCAATCAGCTCTTCACCATTTATTGATTAGCGTTAATATATTGTCACAGAAATGAAAATAATTCCTTTCACCCATCAGTCCATGTAATTCAGCATTTCTTTGTTATCATACTAACTTGATGTGAACCTATGAAATAGTGTTTCATATTCATTATTTTTTGCCATGCACTATGTGCTGCAAAAGTCAATGAAGATACGTACTTTTATTCATTGCTTGGGACTTTTAAATCCAGTGTGAAACAATCCAGTCAAAGACAGCAAAAGCTGTTAAAATCATAATTAGTCTGATGGGATGAAAAAAATGTTGGGGATTTTTAAAAGTATAGGTAAAATCAATATTTGCCTCCTGACATGTCTTTAAGAGGGAGGAAAGAAAGTTTCTAATCTTTCCAAACAGTATTCAACTTTTTGCCTGTATATAAAAATCTAGACAAGTCTCTACAGCTTACTGCACAGATCCATGGATTTTAAGGTCAAAAAGAACTACCATGATTATCTTATCTGACCCACAAAATAACTTAAGCTATTAAATTTCACCTTTCATTCCTGCAATGGGGTAATTATTCTTTCCTGCTATGTAAGAGAATGTTATTGAACCAAATGTGAATTGCTTGCTTTGTCCTTGGAAAGACTCTCCACAAGAGGTTCTACTATCCTGCTATAAACCAATTCAATTTATTAAATTCATCTGAGTTTCTTGCTTCCTCACAGTGAGATTGTTTCAGTCCTTTAGGTTTCTGCCACAGAGTATGAGCAAAAGGATTGCCTCTATCCCCGAGGAGAAAGAAAGCCCATGCAAAGCTGGAACTTATCTGATTCCATCTCTCCTATTTCCTTCAGACTATCAGCTCAGCATAGCAGAACTCTGAATCAGACCTGCAATGTTAGAATTTGTCTGCATCCATGTCTTGCCACAGTTCAATGATATTGGTTTATAAAAAGTACATTTTCTATTACCAGATGGCTACTTCTAGAATTTTAAGACCTGTGTAGTTTCATACATACATTATATGTGTTTTCAGTCAAACATATGGGTAGCTAGGTACACATTGCCCAAATGTTTTGTTATTGTTTTTAAATAGCTTAAAAGCTCTAAAATTTAAATATATAGAAGAGGGGACAGGCAGCCCTTGTTATTATGTTTTATTCTTCTGTTTTAAGATGATTAGTAAGGCAATTTTCCATGAGCTTGACATTTTCTCTAAAAAGACCATGAACCTTTGGCTGCTAGACCACAGTGTTTATGAAGGTTGTTGATCTGACGTAGTGGACTTGGTAATTATTAAGGTTTTAATTTTTTCCTAAAGATTTTAAATTTGGCATTTCTGGGATTACATTTGAATGTAAAAATGTAATTTATAGTGCTTTCTCTTAGTAAGTTGCTTGTGCTTGTATATAATTTCAAACATATTAAAGGTAATAATGAAGTCCATGTTTATGCACTTTAAGCACTTTAAATTACATCTAACTATCCATTTTATCAGCAATTCATGTAAAGATTTAAAGACATAAAGACGTAAAAGTGAAAAATAACAGAAGACTGAATAACCAGCTGCAAAACAAAAAGATTACTAATTCTTTTGGTAATTTTGAATATCAGTAGTCAAACAATCATTCTTCTTCATCTGGGAAATAAGCTCTTTCACCCTGAATGACTAGAAAAATTCAGGTATACCAATACCGAATAATTTACAATTGAAACTATTGGCTGAGGAAAATTAAACTCTCAGATTTTTGTAATTTATCCACCAAAATTTATCACAGCTGAAGAAACAGTAAAGTAATGATCTTGTCACCAGTATATCAGCTTTGCCCTTTTAGGAGAAGGACGGATTAAATCATGTTAGTAAATACCTTGATTATAGTGAAAACTCAGGGCAGTAAAATCAATTCTAAAGTCAGACATATTTCTCTCATGAAACAGTATCACCGTTTTTTTTGCATTATGTGATTAATATTGTTTAATGTTACTAAAACATTATGGAAAAAAAAGGTATTTTAAAAAATAATAATGCAGATGGATAATTTGACCACACTTTTTTATTTATAAATAAAATTCATTTACAAAGTTTCGTAATATATTGTTTGTAGTTAGTTAAATTATTTTATATTGCAGTACGAATGTTGGATTGTGAAATACAAAAATAAAAAATAAAAGGTGCTTTAATAATCTGGAATAAATAAAGTTAAGCCTAGTCCTTCAAAAGTACTGAGAGTGAGGATGAATTTTGCTGTTCAAAAAATGTTCAGTACAGTGTTTTGGGTTTTATTTTTCATTTTCTCACTTTTCTTGTATTTTTCAGGAACAGTGATCAAAATTGCCTAAAACAGAACAATATCTCTTGTTGCATTTCTTGCTGATAAAGACTGAGTGATGTTAAGGAACATTCTTTAATTTGAAGGTACAGGCTGAAGTCTAAAGAAAGTAAGTCTTTTGAGTAAGTTAGGGGTGAGTCAAAATCCTTATCTATAGTTTCTACTGATGGATGTACATCTAGTTGTAAAACCCTGTGAGCTGGAGAACAAATTGCTGTAACATTCCTTGTTCAAATAGTCATAATGGACATTACTGAACTTTTAATCTGCCTTTTCAAGGGCTTCTGACAAGTTCACAAGAGGCTGAAACACAGACAGTTGTCTGTAGTTTGGGTCATTACTGCAAATTTTTGCTGAATCTTTATGAAGCAAAGCCCCTAAAAATACTGGAAAATGGAAAGAAAATTTTTCCTCCATTTGGGAGCAAACCATGAGGTTGGTTAAGCATGCATCTATTTTTAGAGTTGAGTGTTCTCTGGAAACACTGGTAGGAAATTTTAGTAACTATTTAGGTTAATAAAATAAATAAAATAAATAAAAGTACAGAAAAATTACAAAACTCGACATCTTAATATTCTGAAAATTTTACTCTGTTCTTGTGGTTAGGGAAAGCTATATGGGCTGTAGAATTTGACTGGTTGCATGCTATAGGGAGTTAGTTTTTGCTATCTTATCTGGCCATATCATTTATTGTAAAGAGAAGACAACTTTCCATTGTAATTTCATTAACTCCAAAGTTGATTTCTATCAATTTATTCCTTAACATAAACTTCTGTTTTAGCTATATGAAAGGAGTTAGATTTCTTTGTGCATCATTTCTTTCCCCACAAATTAGCATAATAAAACTTTTCCTTATTTTACCTAACTGTTCCTCTCAAACTAGAAAATATTTTTAACAGAGGAGTTTATCCACTGTAGAAAAAGAGAAATATTTTTCACTTTAAGCCTCTATTTTCAACAAGAACAGTAATAATCATCATCATCATCCAAGATCTATTATCTTGATCAGGAGTCAAACAAGAAAAAATTTTTAATTAGTTTGACTGTCTCCATAAGGATTTCTCCCTGAAATTGTTTGTCTAAAAAAGGTTAAAATGTTTTCATTTTTTTTCCAATACTTTTCCTCAGGGATTTTTCACCCTTATGAAAAGCAATCTGTTGGGAATCTCCTGCCACTATTTCCTCATGTTTTAGTAAAAAACCCCTGTGACTTCAGTATCTAGAGTTCCCTATGACTACAGAGGGAGGAGATTATTCAGATTTTAGGATATGATTACTTGAACAAAAAATCATTCAGCCTGAAGCTTTCCTCTGCAATTCTTCCTTACTGTAAACCCCTTTATGTGAGCTACTTTTTTTTTTCTTTTCTTTTTTTTTAATGATTTAGTACTTTGTACCAGGTCGCTGTGCTTGGGGGGAGGAGGCATCTTGCAGGGGAGGGTGGGCATTTATGGGACTTGCACTGTGGGTCCCCTATTCTGCGAAGAGGTGAAGAAGTGTCTGGCTCCAGGAAAGGTGTGAGGGTGTGAATGAAGTGCCTCCCGGACAGCAGCAAAGTGTCCCAGTCTTCGGGGCATGGAGAGGATGCCACAGAGCCTCCTTCTGCAGGGGAGGGGGTGGTGGGTCTGGTTACAGGCAGAGGGCTCCTTGGAGTGCCTGGAGCCTCCAGAGCCAAGGAAACCATGGCAGATTTTCATTTTATATTTATAATGCTTGCTTGTGTGTTTAATATTCACCTCTGATGCTTGCTCATACAAGCTCTCGCACAAACTGCTGCAGGTAATGGAATGGGGTGATAAATACAAGAGCCAAGTTTTTTCACTTCCACATAGCACACAATGTTGTGCTGTGTTTTGCTTGGTGTACTACATTTTTCTTACTTGTAAGCTGTTTTTCCAGGCTGCTGACTGTTCATGCCTGCATCAATCTCAAGTAATTCCTGAAGTGAGGTTCTGCAGGTGACTGTACATTTACGAAGGCTGAAATATATTTAAACTTCAGTACAGCATTTCTTTTCCTTTCAGAGTCAGTAAAGTCCTCTAGGAGAAAAAGAAAAAAATAAAATACATCACAATTTTTGTGTTGTACTTTATTTCTTTTCTATATATGCTCTGGCTGTTCATAGTTCTGTTGTGTCAGTGAGGCTATGGAATAACAGCAGTGATATACTTCTAAGGAAGTATTTTACTTCTTTTTATTATTACTATTATTGTTTTCTTTCTTTCTTTCCTCCTTCCTAGTTGTGCTAAAGTGAGCCATGCCTCAGCTTCTCTTTCAGATGCTGTTTCTGCTGCCACAATGTGAGTGTACTCCTGGTCTATTGATGACAGTTTGCAGGGACTTCCTGCTGCTTAGCCAGTGGATGAGACTTGTTAACACAGCTGTTTCTCAGAAAAACTCTGAGGATGAGTTGCAGCCCATGAAATATACACTGAACAGTCATATAATGTAAGAGGATTGTGGTTTTTGACAGATATGATGCTGTGCCATTGAGGTAATGGGAAATTTTGTTACTGAATGAGGAGAGAATGACATTCTTTTTTATGTGAAACAGAGAAGGCGTAATATAACTATTCACAAAATTTCACATTTATCATCTTTAGTATATTTGTATCACTCTAAAGCAGTGTTCTCATTACTATATTCACTTTAATTCTTAAATAACATTTTTCTTAGGAAAAGTACTATTTTAAAAGCACTTATTTGGGTCTAATTCATAATATACAGAAATAACATTCTAAAGAAGTCTGAGTATACATATTAAATTACAAGTAAGGATAACTCGTGTAGTTAAAATAGACTGCAATCTATAGCTGTATTAGCATTGTTTATGCATCAAACAAAATTTATCCTGCTACCAGTATATGGATTAGCAAAGATCCACTGAAGGCTGGTAATTTGACTATATTCCATAATGTAGGTATCTACTTCTATGAATATCTGCGTTTGTATGTTTACAATATAGCTCTTTTCATTAAAAAGCCACAAACTAAACCCCACCTTTTCAAAAAAACAGATTTCAAAAACTAGATATCTAAATGAGGTATTGTGAGAAAAAAAGAGGTGAAAATTTTTCATTTCATTTATTGTTTCAAGTGAATTAAATTGACTTGTTATTGTGGTATGTCTTTTAGCCTGAGGCTCTTTCCTTTTCTCTCAAGCAGACCAACAGTATAAACATTAAAGGACCATTTGTGTAGCTAAAATTTAAGTCACAGAGGGTCATGCAGAAATTAAATTAGTGCCACTGTTAACAAATCCTTTCAACAGAAACTTTACTCCAGTGCAGTTAAAGACATTAATTAGGGAACTAGGTATAGACAACTGTTTCCAAGGGAGAGATGCCTCTAATCATGTGCTTCTCTCTCTCTGCATCATATAGTGCAAGAATTTCAGATATCATTGCCTGCTTATTAGTTTGGAAGCTGATGATGAGACCTTAAGACTATTTTTAGTTGTGCTCTGTTGTGAGGTTGTAAGAAATACAGAGAGAAGAATGTACTTAGTACTTAGTGTACTTGTATATTAACTGGAAGGAAAAAGAAAAAAAACAAGCTTATCTGCAGCTGTGAACCATTCACATTTCTTAGTACTTTGGGTAAAATCTTTTATGCCTTTCTGTCAGAAAGGATTGAAGATTTGTCCTGGGTGATTTGCAGGGGAATGACGTAGTTTTCCTAAAGGATAACATGATAGAGCATGTGTGTTAGCAAGCAGTGGAATTAATGGGATGCAATTAAAGAAACTAGCTTTTCACAGAGAAGTGGATACTCTTCTTTGCCCTTAAGATAAAGGTCATTGTGAATATGGAGAGAAATTACCTTGGCAAAACAGGAAGACATTCTTGCAGAAAGTAGCATTTTATTATCACTTTGGTTTGTAATATCAGTAATCTGATTATGTATCCTTTAGCATGCAATACACTGAAAGGTAAAGGAGAGGTGATCTGTTCTACGGACAGATCTAACTCAGTTTGGGAGTCAGGCATGTGTTGCCCCCACCACTTGCTTCTGTGTTGAGTGCTGCCAAATTCATATGAGGTTTCCTGTCTTTAGGTCAATGAAATTAAGATGGCTGGGTTTGTGCATAGGCACAGGGAGATTTGTTTGTTTACTATTACATATTTGGTTTCCAAAGAACAAGTAAAAACCAGAAGTCAAAGAGAGAAAATAAATAATCAAATTTATTGATTCAAATTTAGTATCGTCATTTCCACTACCTCTCTATTACATGCAGAGCTGGGACGTCCTGGTTCCCAGTTGGAAGAGATGAACATCACTGGAAGGAGCTCATAGGGCAGTGTGTTCATGTATTTCCTGAAGTTGACTCTTCAGGGCAAAAAGCAGGAAAGGATTTGAAACACACTTAGGTTACTCTTTTATTTCAGCTGTGTTACTGAAGATGGAATTCATATTTATTTTAATGAAGATATTTGTGGCTAGTGACTTAATAGTCAGTAGAGAGAAAGAAACCTCTTCAGCTGGCATGGATCACTGATTTTATGGTGCAGTTTGATGAAAAAATGTGAATAGCCATGATTTCAATAGAAGAAAAATCAAGCTTTGAAATGAAGTGAAAGGGGTGGGTGTGTATGTGCGAGAGACACAGGTTAACAGAGCCTCCTTTCACTCAGGAATTTCCACAGAAATAAACTCAGAAAAAGAACGATAACAAAAATTATTATAATTATATTTTTTATTAAATGAGCAAAATGAAAGGTTAAGAGTAATGCCAGCTATCAGAGAAAGGGATGAGATTCAGTCTCTAGAATATTTTAAATGTCACCTAATTCTGTTGAAGAAGGACAAAAATGTCTTCCATCTGTTCATTGTTTAATTTACTGCTTCTTTCAAACATCAAGTATATTGGTTTCTTTTTGCAATATTTATGTAAAATATATACACTCCTGGCTGCAAAGCTGTAAAAATCTGAAAACACAATATGAAACATTCCTCAATCTACTGTATCAGCTTGACACAATATAGATGCACTCATACAGCTGGCACTCTTTTGAAGCCAGATTAGTTCTTTGGCACTAGAGGCATGAGTAAGCGTTGTTGAAAATAAGTAAGGGCTTCTCCAGTGTATCCAGAATGACTAAAAGATATGCATTCAGTAAAGTTCAAGGAAGATAAGCTTTGTCAAGTGTTAAATGCTGGAGAGAATGTGTTTCATTCATGTGACAGGGAGTAAGACACCACTCTGTCATTGTGTAGAAATGAGAAAACTAATAATTTATGTTAATTTGTTTACAGTGGCTGCGCATGAACTCAGCTGAGAGAAAAACAAGACCATGGCAACAAAGCTGTTGTAACAGTACTCAGAAAACAGATATTAAGGAAATGCAGTAGATGAAGTTTAATACTGAGTTATGGTTCAGGGTTCTGGAATTTTCTTTTGGCCTCTGTCATTTTCTTGAAAATTTTCAGTGGCAAACTAAAAACAAAATGGTTTTTCTGTAAAAGCATTTTATCAGAAATTCACAGCATGTAGTAAAAAGTCATTTTAAGAATGTTATTGTTTGAAAAGAAGGTAGAATCACAACAAAAAGACTAAATAAGTGAAAACCAGTATGTGAGTATCATACTTATTTCCTTCCCCAAAAAATGGAGTATGAATCAAGTTAGATGCAAAAAGAATTTATGCTAAATTGAGTGCTTTATTTTAAATCTTCTCTGAATTTAATTTGAGAGTTCTTGATAAATCAAACAACCCCTACTTGAATCAGATGGTGATGGGTTAAATATCATCTGCAAACCCCAGAGTTAGTCCACATATGCCAGCCCGGGGGTCCTATCTGGACCTTAACCAAAGCCTAAACCAATGGCATACACATTTCAATGATTTTGTTCTGTAACCAGCTCATTTTGGTCTAGTCTTCAAAACTCCATACAGTTATCTCAAAAATTATTCTGAAAAGAATCCTAATGCTGCCAAATTCACTGAAACTATCCCTGTATTTTCTTCCAGACAAGGAAACTCTTCAGAGCAGAAGCATTATCTAAAACTCAATCATTTTTACTGCTCTTTCCGGACTCATATTTGAATCTCATTTTCAATCCAGCTTCACATTTCCTCTTACATAATATTTCCTTCCTATCCTATGTTTGTACTTTACCAAGTAGTTACTGTGAATATAAAACCTAAGTACAGGCAGCTTTGCAGGACCTTGCTTAAGCATGAAATCACCAGCTATCCTCACCAATGATTCCAACCCCAAATATACCAATTTCTGCTGGTCCCAGACAAAACTTAGTGAAGTAAAAACTGTGAACCAAGCCAATGGTAGAACAAAACCCTGATCTAGAAGTAGAATTATGCTTCCATTAGAAATAGGGCAGGGTTATACCTTGAATTTGATTTCATAAACCAATGGTCTTGAGAGTGTTAAAAAAGGAAAAAAATATAGTGTTGTTTCCTGCTTACTTAGCTTGTTATTTCCTCAGCTGGTTATGCTATATTTCTATAGCTGATTTTTATTCTTTCTTTCTCAAAATTTACATATTTCCTTTCCCTACTGAATTACTGTTATTTTATGCTGTGGGAAGATCAGAGTCCATAAAGATCACATTCTATGCCAGTTTTGAGAGGGAGAAAGATCAAAAATTAATTCCTCCTGGTTATTTTATCATTAGTTCTATTCTGGTGTAAGCATTTCACCCTCATTTTTTATGCAGGTTTTTTCAGTCTTTACCTTTATCTTATCTAGGTATCAAAAACTGTGCCAAGAGTTTGGGAATTTACATAGTGCAAGACTACTTTGCATCAAATGTTATGCAGAATCATGAATTAATTCTGCTTCAAAACTAACCAGAAACATTTTCCTGATGAGAAAACTGTCCTGTAGTGCTGTTACATGCTCCATTCCCTGACACACAATATTAAAAATAAAAAGGGAGCAAAACCCTAGAAACCTCCCACACAACCCCCCCAAAAACCAAACCAAAACAAACAAACCAAAGCAAAAACAATCATACCCCTCCCCTCAAACCCCCAAACAAAATCAAAAAAAAACCCCAAACCACCAAGCCCCAACAATAAAAAAATAAGCCTCCTGGCAATTTTTATCTTCATAGTTAAATGAGGAGACTTCCACACCAAACTGACAATTCTATGTTCCTTCTTCCAGTCAGGCAGTTCAAAGGCCAAGAAAGATCCCATGTGATATGAACTTCAATTATTAATGTGATGAGAAATGTAGGTAAGGTGAATAAGACATGGCTAGTAGATGGTCATGGAGCTAAGCAGTTATTTTACATTGCATATACATGTTTTATTGCAGATGGGAAGTGGGACAAAA